GGGGAAGAGGAAGAGAGGAGAGGAAAAAGAAAGGAGAAGAAGGAGGAGAAGGGAAAGGGAGGAAAAGAAAGGAGAAGGGAAAGGGAAGAGAAGAGGGGAGAGGAAAAAGAAAGGGAGAAGGAAGAGGAAGAAGGGAGAAGAGGAGAAGGAGAAAAGGAAGAAGGGGAAGAGAAAAGAAAGAAGAAAGCAGAAGAAGGGGGAAGAAGAAGAGGAGGAGAAGGGAAGAAAAGAAGGGAAGAAAAGGAGAAGAAGAAGGGGGAAGAGGAGAAGGAGAGGGAGGAAGGGGAGAGGAAGAAAAGGAGAAGGAGGAGAAGGGGAAGAGAGAGGAAAAGGAAAAGGAGAAGAGAGAAGGGAAGAGGAGGAGGAGAAGGGGAAGAGGAAGAGGAGAGGAAGAAGAGGGAGAGAGGGAGAAGGGGAAGAGGGGGATGAAGAAGAAGGGAAGAAGGGGAAGAAGAGAAAAAAAGAACAAGAAGGGGAAGAAGGAGGAGGAGGAGAAGGGGAAGAAAAAAGAGAAGACGAAATAGAAGGAGAAGAAAAAGGGGGAAAGAGGAGAAGGGGAAGAGGGAGGAGAAGAGGAAGAGGAAGAAGAGGGAGAGGAAAAAGAAGAGGGAGAAGAAGAAGAGGAAGAAGTTTCAAAGTACACAATTACTGTACCAGAACATGTTGGCAGGTGGAAAGGCGATTAAGTGCCGGTCCACACAGTTTAGCGCAGGCATGGGCAAACTTCCGAGTTGAAGTCCCACACACCTGGAGGGCTGAAATTTGCCCATGCCTGGTTTAGCCGAAAACAGGCCATTCGTGCAAGAAGACAGTTGTCTGGCTCCCTGAACTGCGAGTGCCATCGACTGCGACACACTACCTTTTATATATGTGCCGCGTGATTGAACCTGGGGGGGAAAAAACTCCTTCTCCTTCACATGGATGTAGGTTTCATATGTGTGCATTCACCAAAACATTTCACGTGAATTTTTGCAACGGGAGCCTTCTTTTGCAATAACCCTGTACGGCTGCCTGCAAGAAGAAGGCCCTTTGGAAGGAGAGGGCACCGACCGGCTCACCAACGCTTGCAACCGGGCTCAGCGTTGAGGACGCCCGTCCTCCCGCAGCTCCTGAGATCAAGCGAGGGAGAGATCCGCTCTCCCTCGGCCTCCCTTCACCTGGAAGGGAGGCACATACAATGCGGACGAATGGATGGATAGATGCTCAAGCGTCGCAGTGCGCCTGGCACGGGAAACAGGCAGCAGGATAGGTGAGCAGCGCAAAACCTCCCAGCGGCTCGACGCTTGTGCGCAGACCGGCTGGCACTCATGCCCATATTTAAATGGCATGTAAATTTATTTAAATTTATGCAAGAGTGTCAGGGCAACCCTATATATCAAGTATGGGCTAAATTGGGCCCTCCCTCTGGTTGTTTTGGACTCCAACTCCCACCATTCCTGGCCTCGGACCCCTTCCTTTTCCCCCTCAGCCGCTTAAGCGGCTGAGGGGGAAAAGGAAAGGGTCCGAGGCCAGGAATGGTGGGAGTTGGAGTCCAAAACAACCGGAGAGAGTGCCGAAGTTTGCCCATTCCCTGCTAGAACACATTGGCCACACAGCCTGGAAAACTCACAGCAACCCATTGATTACGGCCGTGAAAGAAGGCCTTTGACAACACGTAACTCAAATAATTTGGGAGCCTTAACCGTCCGCAAAACAATGCAAATAACCCAGAAAGGAAATATATATATATTCTCCGAAGCAGCAGCTTGGGCAAACTTTGCACGTAGGGCTATGGGTTTCACAACAACATCCTACGGAATATCGACATTTGGAATCGAGGAGTATTTCGAATTTTCGGGCATCAAATGACCAAACCCCGGGATGTCACCGATAGCGCTTAAACGTGGAATCGTAGCACTATTATGGTGACGTGTGAAAGCAATTCTCTCTCGCCAGTCAGGAACTTTTTCACCTGTGTGGCGGGAGTTTCAACGCCACCAATTCCAAACTGAAACGCTCCAGAGAAGGTTTGCGATACATCCCCAAACCTTTTGAGAAATCAACAACAACAATTTGGTTGAACGTGATCCGTTCCCAGGCTCTCATTTGGCACGGGATGGAGAGTGAGGGAGAGTCCAGCTCTGCCCTTTTCCTCTCGACTCAGGCTCAAGCTTTTTGCCCCGGCAAAAGCTTTCTCCGTGACCAAGAACAACGCGTTTCCGACAAAATCAATCCTGGAACGCGACCAGGCTCACAAGGCTATTGAGAAATAAGAGAGGCCTCTCCGGGCCGACGCCGGGAGGGATGAATCCCCACCCAAACAAACCAAGATAAAAGTGGAACAAGGACGTTAAAAACAACGCAAAAGCCCAGCCTGCTGGGTCGTGAAACAGAATTCAAGACATTTCAAGCACAAAAGCGAAAGTCTCCTAATGGAACCACAGTGGTTGAGGGAAATAAAAGAGCGTTCCCTACACAGGATCTCCAAGTCGACTTCTCCCCTTTCGTTTGGTCTGGATGCGCAACGGAGAGCATCAACCTTTTGTCCGGCTGAAGAATACTAGATAGAGGCCTGTGTTGCGTCTCGGCTTCCCATGGAAAGTCCCTCTGTGAAGATACCTTCCATGCAGAGGCATCCAACAGCGCATGGAGAAACCTGTCCTGCTGTGAAGATACCTTCCATGCAGAGGCATCCAACAGCGCATGGAGAAACCTGTCCTGCTGTACGAAGGAAGCATCACATGCCACCTTTTGTCTCTATTGCAGAGGCGCCCAACTTGTGGCCCTCCCGGTGTTTGGGACTCCAACTCCCAGCTTGTCCAATGGCCAGGAATCCTGGGACTTGAAATCCTAAACACTTGAAGGGCCGCAGGTCGTGCACCTCCACCCTATTTCCTCGACGTAGTTCAGTCTACCAAGACAGCCAAGGGCTGGGAGATCGGCCTGAACACAACCATGGGGATGCTCTATGCTCGTCCCTGCGAGTCCACTGACCCTTTGGGAATGCACTTTGGGAGTATCCCACCAGCAGAAAGGCACGTCCCTGGCGCCCTTTCCTCCTTTCCCCAAAGAACAACCTGCCTCCAGGTATCACAGCAAGGCTGCCTTGGTCCTCAACATCTCTTCATTCAGTGGAATAGAGTTCCAGGAGGCAGCAACACTTGGGGCTTTCCCCTCCTAGTTGTCCCCTTGAGTGCCTAATGCCCAGCACAACCCTGGCCTGAAAAAGGGAATGCAAAGGGATGAGGAAGGACGAAGGGCGCCTTTGCGACCTTGCTGTGCGCGAAAAGCTAAGCGCCTTCCTGTGTACAAGGAAGAGTGCAACACAACAAGCTCGTGACTGCGGCCAGGGTGAGTTTAAACGGCTATGTGTGCGATCCACAAAACTGCAAAAGTGAAGGGGACGATGGAGACACTACAAAGGGGATCGCGCACCGTCTGGAGCGCATCCCTTCACAAGGCGGGCCAAACTAAGAAGATGTGACAGCTAAGCCTTTCCGTTCTTTATAAGAAGCCCTGGCACAACTAAGAAACGGCACATCGTGGAGGCAGGAGGGCGAGGTAGCCGAGCCCAGAAATGGTAGGTAATGCTACCCACTCTCTGTAAAGATACCCTCCCCGCAGAGACAGCCAACAGCGCATGGAGAAATCTGGGCCGGACAATCTCTCCTGCTGTATGAGGGAAGCATCACATGGCACCATTTGTCTCTATTGCAGTGGCGCCCAACCTGGGGCCCTCATGACATTTGGGGCTCCAACTCCCAGACACCCCTATTGATTGCCAGCTTGTCCAATGGCCAGGAGTCCTGGGACTTGAAGTACAAAACATCTGGAGGTTGTGCACCTCTGCCCTATTGTCCCGACGGAGTTCCCTCTATCTACCAAAAATAGGAGTCCGTCACCTCACTCTGTTTATGGGATGTACAAAGGGATGAGAACCCACCGACCAATCCCACCTTCCCCAAACTCTGGCCTGCTGAGTGATTTCAGACTACAATTCCCATCACCTACCAGTCAGCCTGCTAGCTGGAAGCGATGGGAGGACTGAAATTCAAACTGACAAGAGGCCAGAATGTGGACAGGTTCAAGCACTGGAGTGGGGACCATGTGGCGACCTGGGTGTTTCTAGACTATATTGGGCAGACTGGGGTGGGGACAGTGTGGCGACCCAGGTGTTTCCGGACTATATTGGGCAGACTGGGGTGGGGACCGTGTGGCGACCCGGGTGTTTCTGGACTATATTGGGCAAGCTGGGGTGGCGACCCGGGTGTTTCCAGACCATATTGGGCAGACTGGGGTGGCGACCCGGATGTTTCCGGACTATATTGGGCAGACTGGGGTGGCAACCATGTGGCGACCCGGGTGTTTCCGGACCATATTGGGTAGACTGCGGTGGAGACTATGTAGCAACCCGGGTGTTTCCGGACTATATTGGGCAGACTGGGGTGGCGACCATGTGGTGACCCAGGTGTTTCTGGACCATATTGGGCAGACTGGAGTGGGGACCATGTTGCGACCCGGTGTTTCCGGACTATATTTTGCAGGCCAAGAACACCAGGAGACTCCTGTTTTGGGCAACGCTTCACATGACAGAGACGGAAGAAGGAGCGAAGGCAACAAAGCAGCCTGTTCCCAAAGAACAGTTCAGCTGGACCCAGAGCCGACACAATACCACCCCCAAAGATAAACGTTTTCTATTCCCTTGACTTTGAAAACCACAACGGGAAACATTTAAACACCCCTCTCTCTCTACCTCTACACTGGCTTCAAGCCAATTTAGAGGCTGCTCGTTGCACAAAATCAGCAAAAGGGGAGCCAGCGGATTCTTTAGTAGGGAACAAGTCTCTCTAGATCAGGTCTGGGCCAACTTTGGCCTTCCCTCTGGGTGTTTTGGACTCCAACTCCCACCATTCCTAACAGCCTCAGGTCCTTTCCTTTTCCCCCTCAGCCGCTTAAGCGGCTGAGGGGGAAAAGGAAGGGACCTGAGGCTGTTAGGAATGGTGGGAGTTGGAGTCCAAAACACCCGGAGGGCTGAAGCTTCTCCCTGCCTGGGTGACAGGGTGTTTTGCCTAGTGGAGGAAGGGGAGTGTTCACAGTGGTTTAACCCAACAGCAAAGAGAGGGCGAGACGGGACCGGGGTGGGTGGGTGGGTGTGGGGAATCCCACTGACGACAGTCCGCCCACATTTTCTGTTTCGACGAGAAGGCGCCCGCCCCGGTCTCAGCGCTGCCTCCAAGCCTCTCCGAAAGTGCCAAAGTCCCGGAGTGTTGCTCCCGGCAGCATCGGAGTGAGAGAAGGAAGGAAGTCCTGCCTGGAATGTTGTGTGAAGAAAGGGCTCAAAGGGCACGTGGATCGAGAGGAAGGGAGGAAGGAAGGAATAAAGAAGGGAGGACAGGAAAAGCCCACGGAACGAACGGCATCCATCCGTCGCCTCTGCGTCCACCCGTCGCCGCGTTCACATTTTAGTGGGTTTCGATGACCACTGGCTCGTAAACTCCAGATGAGACTCTGTGCAAGGGAAAGAGAGAGAAAAAAGAGAAAATGTGACTGCGTCCACGCAGGGACGGCCTAGGCCGGGCTGCATGCGACGGAGACCGAAACGAAGCCAAGAAATTGAAAGAAGAGATCGAAGAGGACTGACCTGGCCTGAAATCAAACGTCAGAAAGCTTTTTTGGGTGGGATGGAGAGAAGAGAGACAGATAAGACAGTGCTATAATACAGAAATCCTCACGGTGGGATTCGCAGGGCTTTTGGAGAGAGAGGAGTCAAGGGTCCCACCCGGGCAAGCCTCAAACTCACTGGGGAGAATGGCCTGGCAGCCTGGGATACACCCAAAAGGCACAACTGGCTGAAGGGGTCCTCCAGGTACTCTGAGCTACAACGTCCACCATTCCTGACCAATAGCAACGCAGTCTGTAGCTTATGTTGGAATTAGAAACCTTCTACAAGCCTCCTACACTAGTTATTTGTTATGTATATAATTCGGATTGCTTACTGTATTGTATCTGTGTGTATTGCAGTTTTCCTTAACTCTATGTTGTGAGAGGAGCTGCAGATCATGTGACCTGATCTGGGACTGTTTAGGACTCAGACTCCATTTTAGAAAGGCAGAAGCCATTAGACTTCAAATGTCAGAAAGCTTTTTTGGGTAGGATGGAGAGAAGAGAGACAGATAAGACAGTGCTTTAATATAGCAAACCTCACGGTGGGATTCGCAGGGCTTTTGGAGAGAGAGGAGTCAAGGGTCCCACCCGGGCAAGCCTCAAACTCACTGGGGAGAATGGCCTGGCAAACTGGGATACACCCGAAAGGCACAACTGGCTGAACTGGGGTCCTCCAGTTACTCTGAGCTACAACCTCCACCATTCCTGGCCAATGGCTAGGCAGTCTGTAACTTATTTTGGAATTGTTATATACATAACAAATAACCAGTGTAGGAGGAATTAGAAGGTTCCTAGTTCTTCCTACACTGGTTATTTGTTATGTATATAATTTGGATTGCTTACTGTATTGTATCTGTGTGTATTGGTATGCAGTTTTCCTTAACTCTATGTTTTGGGAGGGTCTGCAGAAGATGTGACCAGATCTGGGACTGTTCAGGACTCAGACTCCATTTTTGAAAGGCAGAAGCCATTAGACTTTCAATGTAGAGACTTCAGTGGAAACAATACAGTTTAGAAGTTAGTTGAAACAGACTACAGAGACTACTAGACTCTAAACCAAACATATTGCTTTCAAAGAAGTCTACTTATTTTCTCTCTTGAGAGCATGATTTAAAGGCATAGATGTTTTAAGGGAGAGCAGATGTTTTTTGGGCAACTGAAAGAACATTTCTGAAACTCCTCTCTCTCTCTCTCTCTCTCTCTCTCTCTCTCTCTCTCTATATATATATATATATATATAGAGAGAGAGAGAGAGAGAGAGAGAGAGAGGAGGCCCAGTCTGTGTATATGTGTTTTTTGTGTGTATATATGTGGTTTTGCACATGTGTTGTATTTTTTTTTGGCTTTTTAAAGTCTCTTCCGCTGTGTTTTCCAGTGTTTTTATGAGTGATGGTCACTCGTTGGCCTGAGAGGTGTCTTGTGTCCAAATTTGGCGTCAATTCGCCCAGTGGTTTTGGAGTTATGTTAATCCCACAAACTAACATTACATTTTTATTTATATAGATGTGTGTGTGTGTGTGTGTGTGTGCATTGGCATCTCTTTGTCCCTAACACTTCAAAGAGATATTGAGGTCTATCAGTTTAACAGCTGAGAAACCTAAGTACCTTGAATGAGGGGGAAAAGGAAAGGGGCTGAAGCCAGGAATTGTGGGAATTGAAGTCCGAAACACCTGGAGGGAAGGCCAAAGTTGGCCCATGCCTGCTCCAAACCTTCAACCATGCCATTAATGAAGACGTTGAGCATAGAGATACCCTCCAGTTCATGCATGTGATGTCCCGAACACAACCCCAGGCCTTGATCCCACAAGTGTGTGTTTCTCCAGCACTTCCGAAGCCCAGCGCAATATTTCCATGCAAACCCAATGAGGCCTGTGCTTGGGGACCGTACCTGTTTGCAAGCTGAATCCCGCTGAGGGTCGTCCGCCCGTCTCTGCTCACAAACAGCCTCAGGTTACTATCTGTGGCGGAAAACAAAAGCAAGGGGAAGGGTGAGCAAAGCAGGGCACACAGCAACAACAACAACAACAACAACAACAACAACAACAAAAGAGCACTGTAACTCGCCCGCCTGCGGGTATTTTATTCAAGAGCTTTGGCCCAAAAGTAGAAGCCAAACAGCACAAAGCAGGCTTTGCGATGAGAAGACCAAGGGGTCAGAGCTCAGGCGGGGACCTACGTGGAGGAAACTGAGGCAGACCTAAGCCTTGTTGTGGGAGCGCGAGTGGCCTGACCTTCGGTGTTGCTGACGTCCGTGAAGTCCTGGCTCTGCATGATTTTCTCCACGATGTCGTCCGCGTCGATCCGGGTGTCGTCCACCCAGGTGGGGTGGCTCTCCACCGAGTCCTTCTTCCGCCTGATCGGGAAAGAGAGGAGGGCACGAGAGTGAAGGCACGCCCCGGCAAAACACAGGCCTCGTTTCCGCTCACAAGCGGGAAGATTATTATTATGACCTTTATTTATATCCCGCTTTTTCTCTCCATCAGGAGACTTAAGAATAGAATAGCTTTATTGGTCACTGTGCTATTGCACAACAAAATTAAATGCTTTCCCCAGCACACACCACAAAACAACGCAACCATCTCACCACACTCCCACTAATGCCACATCAGTGCAAAACCATGGAGTTCAACATCGGCACAACTCTAGGATAAAAGCGGTCTCTCAGTCCGTATGTCCTTGTCTTTGTCACCCTGTACCGCCTGCCAAATGGCAATAATAAGCCATTGTAACTAAGGCCTTCCTTCTCAGAGCTGGAGAAGGGAGAAAGTAGGCAGGCAGTGGTCCCAATGACACTTAAGCAACACCAGGTATATACATGAATACATACAATAGAATAGAATAGCTTTATTGTCATTGTGCTATTGCGCTTCGAAATTAAATGCCTTCGCTAGCACACACTACAAAACAACACAACCACTCCTTCACACCTCAACCACCACCCCACAGCCCCCAATGCCACTTCAATGCGAATCCATGGAGTTCAAGATAGCCACAGTTCTAGATTAAAACCATCTCTCAGTCTGTCTTTCCTTGTCTTTGTCACCCTGTACCGCCTGCCAGATGGTAATAATAAGCCATTGTAACTAAGGCTTTCCTTCTCAGAGCCAGAGAAGGGAGAAAGTAGGCAGGCAGCTATTCCAATGACACTCAAGCAACACTGGGTATGTACATGAATACATAGAATATAACAGAATAGAATACTATTGTCATTGTGCTATTGCACTTCGAAATTAAGTGCTATTGCACTTTCCCCAGCACACACCACAAAACAACACAACCATCCTTCCGCACTCCCACCACTACCACACAGTGCCCCATGCCACATCAATGCGAAGCCATGGAGTTCAACATCGGCACAGCTCTAGGATAAAACTATCTCTCACTCTGTCTGTCCTTGTCTTTGTCATCCTGTACTGCCTGTCAGATGGTAATAATAAGACTTTGTAAGGAAGAATAGAACAGAATGGAATACTATTGTCATGGTGCTATTGCACTTCGAAATTAAATGCCTTCCCTAGCACACACTACAAAACAACACAACCATTCCTTCACACCTCAGCCACCACCGCACAGCCCCCCATGCTACTTCAATGCAAATCCATGGAGTTCAACATAGCCACAGTTCTAGGACAAAACTATCTCTCAGTCTGTCTGTCCTTGTCCTTGTCACCCCATACCGCCTGCCAGATGGTAATAATAAGACACTGTAAGGAAGGACTTTCTTCTCAGAGCTGGAGAAGGAAGAAAGTAAGCAGGCAGTGGTCCCAATGACACTCAGGCAACACTGGGTATACAAATACATAGAATAGAATAGGATAGAATAGCTTTATTGTCGTTGTGCTATTTCACTTCAAAATTAAATGCTTTCCCCAGCACACACTACAAAACAACACAACCATTCCTTCACACTTCAATCACCACTGCACAGCCCCCAGTGCCACATCAATGCAAATCCATGGAGTTCTAGGACAAAACTGTCTCTCAGTCTGTCTGTCCTTGTCTTTGTCACCCTGTAACTCCTGCCAGATGGTAATAATAAGACACTGTAAGGAAGGACTTTCTTCTCAGAGCTGGAGAAGGGGAAAGTAGGCAGGCAGTGGCCCCAATGACACTCAGGCAACACTGGGTATGCGAATACATAGAATAGGATAGGATAGCTTTATTGTCGTGCTATTTCACTTTGAAATTAAATGCTTTCCTCAGCACAAACCACAAAACAACACAACCATTCCTCCACACCTCAACCACTACTGCACAGCCCCCAATGCCACATCAATGTGAAGCCTTGGAGTTCAAGATAGCCACAGTTCTAGATTAAAACCATCTCTCAGTCTGTCTTTCCTTGTCTTTGTCACCCTGTACCGCCTGCCAGATGGTAATAATAAGACACTGTAAGGAAGGCCTTTCTTCTCAGAGCTGGAGAAGGGAGAAAGGAGGCAGGTAGCTGTTCCAATGACACGCAAGCAACACTGGGTATGTACACCAATACATAGAATAGAACAGAATAGAATACATAATACATGAATACATAAAATAGGATAGGATAGAATGGCTTTATTGTCATTGTGCTATTGCACTTCAAAATTAAATGCTTTCCCCAGCACACACCACAAAACAACACAACCATCCCTCCACACTCCCACCAATGCCACATCAATGCAAAGCCATGGAGTTCAACATAGTTATTTATTGCTGTATTGTTGTTGTGTTTTATTGATGTATTTGGGCTCGGCCTCTTGTAACCCGCACCGAGTCCTGCGGAAGATGGTAGCAGGGTATAAATAAAGGTTTATTATTATTATTATTATTATTATTATTATTATTATTATTGGCACAGCTCTAGGATAAAAGCGGTCTCTCGGTCTGTCCGTCCTTGCCTTTGTCACCCTGTGCCGCCTGCCAGAATGCTTTGAGCTTTCTTGAGGCAATGGGAATGACAAAGTCCTTCCAAAGAGGTGAGAAAGGGGACAACCCATGCTTCTCTGTGCAGAAGTGGTGACCCTTTGGAGCCCCTTCCTACCTGCAGTGACTATACAGTTACCAAACCATGCGCAGAGGCAGGAGGTGAGGACGCTCTCTCGAGCACAGCTGCTAACATGAAAAGATGGCTTGCACAACCTGCGGGAGAGCTGTGCTCGAGGCCCGTGTTCCCTTCCGTCTCTGCTTTCTGCGCTTCTCAAGCCATTGCTCCCAGAAGCAAATGACAACACGAATTAGTCCTTGGCCATTTCCGGGCCCAGCTTTTCCTTTTCCCCTTTATACATTTTTAACAGGAAGCCTTGTATTGAGCCTGGAAAGCCTGGTGTCCCACTCACGAGAGACAATGCCCACTTGCATGTCTATTTTATTCCGTCCCGCTCGCATCTTCTGTTCTGGTTCCTCACTTATTCATGCCTTGCCCGAGGGCGGTGCATGATGTCGGTCTGAAAAATTAATGCACGCTCGGTCCAAACCAGGGCTGGATACAGGGAAAAGGGAGAGAGAGGGCTGCCTGGACCTCTGCTCAGGAGATTTCTCTCCCCTTTGCAGGGAATGCAATCTGATGTTATATTGATCTTGTCCTTACTTATTGTTTTTTGATTGGGTTTGTTGTCTGTCCGTTTCTGGCATTGAATGTTTGCCACCTTCGTTGGAAACCACCCTGAGTCCCCTCGAGAAGTCCTAGACAAAGAAAGTTATTATTGTGTTGTATTGTCGAAGGCTTTCATGGATGGAATCATTGGGTGTTCTGAGTTCCAGAAGCATTCTCTCCTGACGTTTTGCCTGCATCTATCTATGGCAGGCATTCTCAGATTTTGTGAGGTCTGTTGGAAACTAGGAAAATGGGGTTTATATATCTGTGGAATGATGTCCAGGGTGGGAGAAAGAAAGAACTCTTGTCTGGTTGAGATAGGTGTGAATGTTGCAATTGGCCACCTGGATTAGCATTTAATGGCCTGACTGTTTCCAAGTCTGGCTTCTTACTGCTGGGAGAATCCTTTCTTGGGAGGTGATTAGCTGTCCCTGATTGTTTCTTGTCTGGAATTCCCCTATTCTCTGAGTGTTATTCTTTATTTACTGTCCTGATTTTAGAGTTTTTTTTTTAATATTGGTTGCCATATTTTGTTCATTTTCATGGTTTCTTCCTTTCTGTTGAAATTGTTCACATGCTTGTGGATTTCAGTGGCTTTTCTGTGTAGTCTGACATGGTACAAACAATGACAAAATCTGGATTCCTCCAGGCAGGAAGCAGCCAGGCCTTGAAAACTATATCTTGATTAGAATGGCATTTTGGAGGTCAGGTGTCAACTGCAGGCTCCCATTATTTTTGTTATTATGAGGATTTAAAGATCGAACTGCAAAGACTCTGGCACAAGCCAGTCAAGGTGGTCCCAGTGGTGATCGGCACACTGGGTGCAGTGCCTAAAGACCTTGGCCTGCACTTAAACACAATCGGCGCTGACAAGATTACCATCTGCCAGCTGCAAAAGGCCACCTTACTGGGATCTGCATTATTCGCCGATACATCACACAGTCCTAGACACTTGGGAAGTGTCCGACGTGTGAGCCAATACAACAGCCAGCAGAGTGATGAGTCTGCTGTGGACTCATCTTGATGTAGAGATATAAGTGCTGCTAAATTCTTAATAATAATAATAATCGGTTGTTGTAGGTTTTTTCGGGCTATATGGCCATGTTCTAGAGCATTCTCTCCTGACGTTTCGCCTGCATCTACAAGCATCTGAGGATGATTGCCAAAGATGCAGGCGAAACGTCAGGACAAAATGCCTCTAGGACATGGCCATATAACCCGAAAAAACCCTCCAACAACCTAGTGATTCCAGCCATGAAAGCCTTCAACAACAACAACAACAACAACAACAACAACAACAATAATAATAGACACTTGGGTAGTGTCCGTCATGTGACCCAATACAACAGCCAGCAGAGTGTCTGCTGTGGACTCATCTTGTTGTGTTTCAAATAATAATAATAATAATAGTAATAATAATAACAACAATAATAACAATAACAACAACAACAAGGGTATATTTTCCCCCAAATAAAAACTCATTTGCAACAGAAACAAAAGCAGAGAATGAATTATTTTGGCTGACCTGGAGGGTCTCTCTGTGAGGAGGGTGGGCCGGGGCGGGCGTGGGGGCTTCTCTGGTCGGGGCTCACGCTCGCCCTCGGGACCCTCCACCGCTGTGCTGAGGCCGCCTGAGGCGCTGCTGCTGGTTGACGTGTTGCGCCGGTGCGTCAGGTCCGAGGTGCTGGAGGAGCGCGAGTGCTCGGTGCTGTAGCCTGTGGGAAGAGGGGCAGCGCAGCAAGTGGGACCGGTGGTCCCCTTTGACCCACAGGAGGGTGCCCCCCCTTCCCCCTGCACATGGGTCAAGCTCAAGGCCCACACACCGCATACGGCCCTCCATATCAGGCATGGGCCAACTTCAGCCCTCCCTCATCGCTCTGGGCGGAGGGCGACAAGGCAGACCTGCTGAAAGATGCGCTGGGCCCATAACCCGACTGCTGCCACCAAGGCTTTGTGCAAGTTGCTAACATCAGTGCTTTCCCCCTCTAAGAAAAGTATGTTCTGATAGCATAACAACTGTCCTTCATGGTCTCATCCAAGCATCTGCTTAATAATAATAATAATAATAATAATAATAATAATAATAATAATAATAGTCTAGAGTCGGAAGGGACCTCTAAAGGCCATCCAGTCCAACCGCCTTCTTTCCGCCAGGCAGCAAGGCACAATCCAAGCCCTCCTGACCGATGGCCATCCAGCCTCTCCTTGTAGTCATTTCGAGGGCCACTCTGCTATGCTAAGGATGAGAAACACAAAGCTTGGGTTCTTCCATTCTAGTTCCAGAGAGCGCATGACAGAAAGGGAAGGGGACGGCCCAGAGAGAAGCCCCCAGAGGCGCAAACGCATGGCGTACTTTGGGTTCTTTTGGCAAGCGCATGCGACGAGCCGTTACCAGAGATCTTGGACTGCTGGCTGGCGTAGCTGGAGTTCCGTGAGTGTCCCGAGTGGAAGACTTCCTCCGGACTGGACAGGTTCTGGTCCGGCTCCTCTGGCAGCCCTGCGGAGAGAAGGGAGGCCCCATAAGAGAGAGAGTGCCTGTAACCCAGGCATGGAGAAACTTTGGCCCTCCGGGTGTTTTGGACTCCAACTCCCACCATTCCTAACAGCGGTTGCTTTTGCCCATCAGGAAGCTCTGCAGAAGATCTGCTTCAACAGGCTCAAAGCGAGGAAGCTGCATCACCACATGTTGATTTTTCTCCCAGCAGAAGCAGCCAGCAATGTCCAGCTTTGACTGGGATTGAGATTCCCGTTGCCCCTCTTGACTGGTCAAGGACACAGCCGACTCCTGGACCAGGCATGGACCAACTCCGCGCTCCCTCCAGGTGTTTTGGACCACAACTCCCACAATTCCTAATAGCCAGTATATTAATATTACTACTACTACTAGTAGTAATATTACTAGTACTTGTACTACTACTAGTAGTAATAATATTACTACTAGTAGTAATATTATTACTACTAGTAGTAGTAGTAGTAGTAGTACTACTACCACTACTACTACTAGCTGTACCCACCACGCATTGCTGTGGCCAACCTTTCCTCCATCTTTCTCTCCTTCCTTCCTTCCTTCCTTCCTTCCCTTTTTTCTTTCTTCCCTTCCCTTTTTCTTTCCCTTTTCTTTCTTTCCTTTCATCCTTCTCTACTTCTTTCTCTCCTTCTGTTCTTCGCTCTTTGCTTCCATCCTTGCTTCTCTTTCCTTTTTGCTTCTCTTCCTTTTTCTCTCCTTTCTTCCTTCTCTA